CGTACCGTAACCGTAACCGTAACCGTAACCGTAACCGTAACCGTAAACCGAACCGTAACCTAACCTAACTAACTACTACTACTACTACTACTACTCTCTCTCTCTCTCTCTCTCTCTCTCTCTCTCTCTCTCTCTCTCTCTCTCTCTCTCTCTCTCTCTCTCTCTCCTTGTTGCTACTAGTGCGGAGGGAGAGAGAGGCGCAAGAATTCTACTTGGGCAATCACCTTCAACTGGATCAAAATATTAAAGAGTACACAGAGGAAGAGAGAAGAGATGAGGCAGTCCAAGAGCACAACATAAACAGAGAGTTATGAGACATTGACTGCAACTTCAACCGCGCAGTGGAAATATGGTTGAAAATTGGTAATTTTCAGATATTGCGGTTACACAATACCACCCTGTTTAAAAAAAGGAGAAAGTTTTCACGGGGTCGCAGCGCTCTCATATTGAACTATGGTGGACCTCATGAATCCTTTCATACCGGAGAACCCTCTCATTGCCTATCTTAACCTCGAGATGCGAAACCAAGAAGAAAGGAAACAAATTTATAATTAATTATCCGGATATCGAAATGTATAAATATGAAAAGAAAAACAAGATTTCCACTTTGCAAAATTATGTATCTTGCAATACATTACGTGGACTATCAATTTTCAAGTCATATGTTTTTTTTAGAGTGACTACCTAAAAATTTTATTTTTAGATTTTACAATTTTATAATTAGATATGACAATAGATTTTTTGAAAAAAAAATTAATATAAAATTGTATTTATGCTGAAATTTAGAGTTGTTTTTTAATTGAATTGTTTAAAGTTGCAACCTTATGCAAACTACACTCATCTATATGTTAACAAACTATTTAGAAAGTCTAATTTTAAGATTTTTTTAAGTGTTTATAAATTACTTAATATTACGTTTGAAATTTTAAAGTAAAAATAAATTTTTAGACCTTAGCAAGGTTTCTTACGCCAGAATTACAGAGATGTGCTTGTACACTAGGATAAAAAGAGCGCTTTAAACTTCGCTCAAAAAGGTCAAAAGACAAGAAATCAATAAAGAAAATGAAAAGCCATCGTATTTGACAAAAGTGAATTGAATAATGGAATCTCTAACCAATCAAAAAATGGGGCCAGGTGGGGGTTGGATAGATCCAAGCTCAACGAAACCATTCCATTAATTATCTTTTTCCTTTTTTTTATGAAAAGGTTTATATAGAGACGATGATCTAAACAATCAACTTAGAACCCACTTCAAAAAAAAATTTAGAAGAGCTTGTTTTAATGGTCAAATATTTTTAAATTGTTCATCTCGACATCAAAATGCATGGACACAAGAAAAAAATGGATTTCAAGTTTCGAAAATAGTGCATCTTGTAATACATTTTTGGACCGTCAATTTTCAAGATTTTCAAGTTTTCATAAATCGGCAAGATCTATACTATTTTTAAGTTTTAAATTTTATAATTAAAAATAAAAGTATATTTTAAAGCTATTACAAAAAATTTTAGTATTGAAACCATATTCCATATACTATTTGGAGGTGACCGTTATTTTGATTGCTTAAAGCCTCGGCTCTATATTTATATAAAAAAAAATTTGAACCATTGTTTTTAAATGAACCACATCTCTTTGCATTCTTTGCATTCATTTTTAAAATGGACACTTTATACGTCTATACTTTTGGACCGCATATTGTAGAAATGTGGTCCAATTATTCTAAGATTAATAGGCTTGCGAAAACCGGTGTTCTACAAAGTATAAACCAGAGTCAATTGCATGTTCATGAGAAAGCACATTGTACAACAAGTAAAACAGTTGATGAAATTTTTTTATCCGGAGTTTTGGATTCGTGTGAGAATCATGGATGCTTATTGTCAAGAATTATTTAATACTTGATCCAGCCCTCCATAAATTGAGTCGTAATTTTCAATTTGAAATTAATTTTGGGAGGTAAACCGCGAGGTTCAAGAGGTTACATCCTCCAATTTAGGGTCATAAGTATACAACTACCTTGAGTTTTACCTAAAAGAGCAAATGCACAGTATGCTCTTGAGGGAGCAGAAAGTCGTTTTTTATATATATTAATGCTAAAATATATTATACTCCGCAGGAAAGATACTGTCTATTTACTCCCTTAGGTAAAACCCTATTTACAATTAATTTTAGGACCTGGAAATTTTTTGATCCAAAATTTTGGATTCATGAGAGAATCATTGGATGCTTATTTTTAGGGAAACATAGATTTTGAGTTATTCAATAATAAGATCCTACCCTCCAAAAATTGAGTGGTGTTGTTTAATCTTGGGATATTGTTTTTTCATGCACAAAAAGAGTGAAATTTATTTTTAGAGGTTCATTGCCACGTTCAAGAGGTTACATCCCCGAACTTAGGGTCATAAAAATACAACTAGCTTGAGTTTTACTTAAAGGAGCAAAGGCACAATATGCTACCAGAGGAACATAAAATCTTTTTATGCTATATATCAATGCTAAAAGGTACTCCCCGGAGAGTACACAATCCTTGCTCCCTCATAAAGCCATTTAGGATTAATTTTAGGACCCAAAAAGTTCTTGATCTAGAATTTTGGATTCATGTCAGAAATATTCGATGTTTGTTTTAGGAAAACATAGATTTTGAGTTATTCAATACTTGGATCTTGCCCTCCAAAAATTAAATGGTCATGTTGAATCTTGCGATATATTTTTTCATACAGTGAAATTTATTTTTAGAAGTGCCCTGCCATGTTCAAAAAATTACATCCCCAAATATGGGGTCCTATAAATACAATTAGCTTGAGTTATATATATATATATATATAATCTAAACTTCATAGCCCTTCAAATTACAAAGGTTCCAAATAAAGAGAGTTGTGAATAGTGGATTTAATTTTGTAGTCTATTTTTTAAACAAAAGTTACTTTTGTGGGGCAATTTTGTAAATATTACTACAAGATAAATGATACTTTTGTCATCTTCATAAGGGATAAAGTTGAAATTTTAACTAAAAAAACAAATGCACTCTACAAATAAGGTTCAAGACACTAATTTTCAAAATACCATTATACTTTTGTAAAAATTTCAAATTTTCTCTTGCTTGATGATAAAGTTACTTATTTAAATAATTTTTTAATAAAAAAATAATTATTGTTTTGATAAATACACCCATCACAACCCCTTCTAACTTGAATCTTTATGTTTTGAGGGGTTGTTAACTCTAGACAAATCCATTGCAGAGACTGGATTCAACTATTCCTAACAAGGAATCCGTGAATCTTTTGTGACTGTTGTCTCTTAAATAGAGCAGAACATAATTATTTAATCATGTCCTTGTTAACGGTTTGATAGCTATTTGTACTAAACCAATATGCAAATATTTGTAATCTTTCCTTTTATGATCTTCAATCATTCTTAGAGAAAGTAATTGGAATTTGTCTTGAATTTCCATCACATAAATACTTTGTTCAATGGTTTTGATGGAAAAACTACTTTTGAAATCAAAAGTTCCTTTACTATAAACATCAGTTATAGGTACCTTAGGTATATTCCAATTTTGAATATATTTTTCTATATTATCTATTTTTACTTCTTCTCTATTATTAACACGTAATGTATTACTAGTAGTAGCTGACCTATTAAATAATGTTCTGATGAAATTTGCCATTGTAGTTCGAGTCAACTAGAAACAGTCCCTACACTTTTTTAGCTCTTCCTAGCCTAAGTGATATTTGAGTCACAGCGACTTTGAACTACTACTATAGATTTTCATAGTCTAATAGTTCAGTTTTCTACTAGAGATACAGTTAGACCAGTATAATATAAACTTGGCTCTGATACCATTTATTTCAACTGTTTTCCAAACTTCTCGGTAGCCTTAACAGATCCTAATCTATTAAAGGTCCTTATCCAAAACCTTAAACTCAAGGTTTTGATATGGACTCAGCTTTTCAAAACTTGGCATTTTTTTACAGAATATACTACAAAGTAATGAATACTTTTTGTCCAAATGCTAAGAAAATGAATCTAAAAGGACAAACTATATTTTTCTAGACAAACATGGAAAAGTCAAATTTAGTTATACCCAAATTTATGGCATGGTCCCAGGTAAAATTACCAGAGCGATGGTCTTTACAATCTGAAATCCCAAATTAAAAATCCTAAAAATAGAGACCCTGACCAAATCATAGAATACTCTGATGGAGAAATAGAGATAAGTTTTCCATCATCCAAAAGAACTATATTAAGAATTGGTGAATCAAGTATTAAGGATCCTCCTAGAAGCTCGACCTCTTCCGTCTCTTCCTTACCACATTCTGAATATGAAAGAATAATCGCTCATAGGAGAACTATTATTGAAAGACTTAGTAGGACCCCAAATCAGGTTCAACAACCAGTCTATAGGGTAGACATTCCAGGATCTTCTGAAATAGAAGAACAAGAACCAACACCCTCAGGTCTTGACTTTGAAGTATGTGTTATTCAAAAGGAAGAACTCAAGATTGATAAGGAATGGATTAGAAAATATTTCTACTCTGAAAAATAGACTAATAAGAGAATGGTTGTTCAAATAATTTAAAAAACCCCTTAGAGATGCCTTCCATCTAAAATTTAATCGTTTCATGATGAAGCACAAGGCAACTGTCAAATTTTTTAAATGGTTAAAATATATAGCAAAAGATTATGGAATAAAAATTCCAAAATTTGAAGTAAATATGGTTGAAAAATCTTTTTAAACCTTTCAAACCACCAAAGGAGAAACAATTGAATATATCCATCCTGCTGAGACTAGCTTGCAATTGAAAGGTAAAAAGTTCGACGAGAAAAGTGAAATTAAAGCCTCATCTTTCAAAATAGGACCTAAAGAAAACGACCATAATATAGCCAAAATTGAAGGGATACCTTATATTATTGAACATGATAAATATACAAATATTTTCCTCCAAACAATAGGCAAGCAAACTACA